CGGGCGCGCGCCCGGCGGGAACGCGGGGCCCGGGGGGGTGGGTGCTGCGGCACTTACCATTCGCGGCGTGGCGTCGGGTGCCCCGCGAGGGGAGGGAGAGGGAAGGAGGGGAGAGGGTGGAGACCAGCGTCCTCTCGGCGGAGGCTTTTCTGCTTCGTAGCAGCCTTGGCTGGCGCCAAAACCGGACTCCGCCCACTTCCTCGCGCCCGGGGGTCGGGGCAAGTGGGAAACTAAGAACGAGTGCTCCTCTCGGACCACCCTCTGGAAAGACCTCTCCTAAACTCGAGGGTCAGCCCCAGAGACGTTGCCCAGGGTTAGGTCGGTGCAGCGCGAACTGTAATTTGTTAACTAGAAGTCCCTTCGGGTGTTTCCGGGAGGGGCCGAGATAGTCCTCTGTGCTGGGGGAGGCGAAACGGAGGGGAAGGCTACAGATTTTAATGTACTGAGAATATAAAATGGGGGGTGGATTATCACAGGTTTAGAAGTTAGGACCACCTCCCGGGTTGAGGGGGCCGGGCTTCTGGCCGGGGGATTAAGCTCCTCCCGACAGCGTTAATTTCAAACTGCGCGACCGTTTCTCACCTGCCTGCGCTAAGGCGGGGCCTGGACCCAATTCCAAGAGGGAGTTGCACGCAGTCCTCGAGCCTTCCGCAATTCACTGAGCCCATTTACGCAACTGACGTCAAGCGCTATCGCTGGCCGCAAGGGGGAAAGGTACGCACTTGGCGTAGGGTGGTCGTAGAGCCTTCCCGCCATTGGCGGCGGTTAGGACGTTTACGCAACGCTCTGACGTAGGAGAAGACGCGTTGGTCGGGGGGGAAGGTTCTAGAAAAGAGGCGGCAGAGGCTCTAGCGGCAGTAGCAGCAGCGCCGGGACCCGGGTGGAGGTTCTTCTGTCGGTGTTGTTTCTCGAGCAGCGGCAGTTCTCACTACAGCGCCAGGACGAGTCCGGTTCGTGTTCGTCCGCGGAGATCTCTCTCATCTCGCTCGGCTGCGGGAAATCGGGCTGAAGCGACTGAGTCCGCGATGGAGGTAACGGGTTTGATATCAATGAGTTATTGGAAAGGGCATGGCGCGGCCTATGGCGCCTCGGTGGAAGCCGGCCAGCCGCCTCTATGGGACAGCGGCAAGAAATTGGGCCTCTTCAGTAGCGGTTGGTCTTGAGATATTTTTGAGAGGGGTCGTTAGCGGAGGCCTGATCGTACAAATGCCTTCCCCACCCTCAGCCTCCCGGCGCCATTTCCTTTCACTGGGGATGGGGGATGGGGAACTTTCACTTGGCTGACGTAGCCCCGCTTTAGCGAAACGGGGGCTCGGAGGCGGGAATTTTTATTCCCCTTTAAAAGAATGCTTATCTGGGGGCCCGGCGTCTCCGCGTTTGAGGGTTTCGGCGGGAATGGGGTCCTCGTGAGCGAGTCTGCGGCGCTTCCCCTCCCCCCTTCCCGGGAACCGGATTTGGCGGCCGCCATTTTCCTCTCTCTCCTTCCTCGCAGCGTTTTTCTTTTAACTCTCTCAGTCCTCCTCGTTTGATCTCTCTGTGAAAGCATAGAAGTGGTTAACTCTTTCTCTTTCTTCTCGGGCTGTTTTCATATCGTTTGGAGGTGGATTTCGAGTGTTTTGGGAGCTTGCATCTTTAGAGTCCTGCGCACCTCATTAAAGGCTCTCTGTCTTCCCCTCGATGAAATGGCGCCATTGCGTTCAGAAGCCACACGGGGGAGGGGGGGCCATTACAGGGCTTGCTGGCTCGGTTTGAGAGAAGGTATAACAACGTAGGGCGTTGGGCCGATTTTAACGAGAGCCACATTACAAATAAACCATTTTGTTCTCAAGTTCTAATTTCTTTGAGTAACGGTTTTCATAGGTCTGCAGTGATTAAAAAAAGCAGTTGAATCGCAGGAACCTAGAAGGAAAGAAATTGGGAGCCATCGTATTAGTACCGATTACAAGCGTGGCAGTGAGGAAAGATTATTTTGGGGTTAGGGATATTCTTATTTTAAGTATTTCTACTGGGAACTTTAATCTGTACTGGGTAAAACTACCGATCCTTGTAAATGGTAAGCCAGAAATTGTGAGGAAGTGAAATTGAAATGAGTTTACCTTTACTTATAATTTGGTTAAAACATGGCTCAGTCTTTTAATGCGTGTATTGCTATATGCAAAAGTGTTTTTGGCCTGGGCCGCTATGTATTTGAACCTTGTCACTTGCTTTTTTCATTTACGCTTGCAATCATGGTTGATCATTACATTGATAAGCATAAGGTCTCAAGCGAAGGGGGTCTACCGGGTTATTTTCTTTGACCCTAAGCACGCTTATAAAATAACTTTGTTTATAAATCGATAGTGGACATCGGGTAAGTTTGGAAAATGTGAGGTAAGTAATGAGTTTCTGCTTTTTGTTAGTGATTTGTAAGAATTGTAGATGTACTTTATTTCCATAATTTATTTGGGTTTAGAGAGACCTATTTGCTGACAACATTTAGAATAAATAAGAAATAGCTGAAAAATCTAAATATATTAATCTTGCCAAATCACAATTATAAAAGGCTGTTTTGGATGTCTCCTAGGAGCTAATTTGGCTATTTTTGTTCTTTTTTTAACTTTGAGAATCCCAAAAACAGTGTGCAGGAAAAGAATCTGACTGAGTTGGCTCTTACCACTGTTTTTTGAACAGTTGGGAGAATATGCATGGACGAGACTTCTGTAGAACTGTGGGTTGAGAACAGTAATGTTGATTGCTAAGGAACAACATTATTTCATGCATTGAAGATTCCATTTGACGTTTAGTTTATATTATTCATAGCAATTGGTCCTAGATATTATGACCTGTTCTAGTTTATGGGCTGAAAAATTTTTTTAACCTAGTTTATTTGTAAGCCAGGTTAAATGATTCTTCCATGACGGTCCCAAATAAAATGCTGTTAATGCAGCATATTTGCTTGGTGATTTGCAGATATTAAAAGATTTCAGCTCAGATTTTTTTTTTTTTTTACTTGTAAAATTTGAGGCACTTGTGTGGTTTGCCAGATGGCCGCTAAATCCAGTAAGCCCGAGCTTTTGATATTGGGAAATAAGTGTAGTGTTATAATATGAAACATTTGTTGTGGTTTTTGAAATGTGAGATTACTGCAGGTGAATGTATTTTACTGTGCATATGGTTGGTTGTTAACTGAGTAGCAATCCAGTTTAGTATTGTCGCCTAAATACTGAATATAGGATAGGAGTACTCACCAAAAAAAAAAAAATCAGTATGTTAAACTATTTAAGCTTTAGATGCTACTGGTCATATTAATTTTAAGCTTATTTTTATGCATAAATTGAATGTATGAAATTTTTCGCAATCAAGAGAAGTTACGTGGAGAAACTTAACCATATTTGCCTTAATAATTTTTTCTTTTTGGTTGAGATACTTAGAATCACCACCGGAGGGGGCTGTTAAGGGAAAATAAATCTCACTATTCATGTATTAAATCCTGAAATAAATGGTAAATTTTGGGTCATTAATAAGGAACTGATAGTTATTTTTTATATTAAGAAAAATCTGAATTGAGTAAGTTAATTTCTGTGTTTTTAAGATACAGGGTTGAATGAAAATTTTGATTGAATCCTTTCATAACCCTTCATTGACCACTGAATAGATTTGTTCCTTTCTCAAGAGTTTTTAAAAATTAAGTGATACTAAACTGTTAAGTAAATTTAGATCAAGCATTAATGACTTTGAAACTTGTATAGTTCAGCTGAAGCAATTTTTTTGGTGTAACACAGCTAATATGCAGTTTAACATATGGTTTAAATTTGATGTAAGTTTTTTTTTTCCCCCCCAGAAAACTTTAGAAACTGTTCCTTTGGAGAGGAAAAAGGTACTCTGCCAGCAGGTCACCTCATATTTAAGAATTTAATTTCCTGCATACAAAGAGAAAATATAAATAAAAATTGAAATGGTGTTTTCCTTTGCAGAGAGAAAAGGAACAGTTCCGTAAGCTCTTTATTGGTGGCTTGAGCTTTGAAACCACAGAAGAAAGTTTGAGGAACTACTACGAGCAATGGGGAAAACTTACAGACTGTGTGGTATGTTAGCTATGGAATTCTGACTACAGATACTAGCCCCTTTTGACTGTTTGACTTCTCTGTTTAAAACAAATGATTCATGCAAAAGATAAATGAGTACTTACAGTGAAAAAAAGAAAAAAAAACCTGTTGATGTTCCTAGTTTATAGCACAAATAATGAGAGTGAATGCTGAAGTTTCCCCTTTGGTTTTAAAGGTAATGAGGGATCCTGCAAGCAAAAGATCAAGAGGATTCGGTTTTGTAACTTTCTCATCCATGGCTGAGGTTGACGCTGCCATGGCTGCAAGACCTCATTCAATTGATGGGAGAGTGGTTGAGCCAAAACGTGCTGTAGCAAGAGAGGTAAGAAAACATAACTTCTTTGTGCAATAAACATGAAGAAACTGCTGTCAAACTGAAGGTTAGAATGTAATTTTTGAAAGAACTGGGTTTTAGCTCAAGATTCTTATTCTTATTAAAGCTGTGTTGTTTTTTTTCTCTTTAAGCTTATTTTTCAAAAGACTAGGCTCTTCATAAGTTATTGCTTTACCTAGTGTTTTATCATAGGGTAGATAAAAGCCATATGGTACAAAGATGTGTGCTTTCATTTGTGGTTGTAGTTCTTATGTTAGAATGATTTTTTCTCCCCCACTGTTTTAGGAGTCTGGGAAACCGGGGGCTCATGTAACTGTGAAGAAGCTGTTCGTTGGTGGAATTAAAGAAGATACTGAGGAACATCACCTTAGAGATTACTTCGAGGAATATGGAAAAATTGATACCATTGAGATAATTACTGATAGGCAGTCTGGAAAGAAAAGAGGCTTTGGCTTTGTTACTTTTGATGACCATGATCCTGTGGATAAAATTGTATGTAAGTGTCTAGGCACTAGATGTATGGCTCTTTCATAAATTTTGGGTATGTTAACATCTACAACTTTATTAAAAGGTAAACATTTTAAGTTGTTTACTGTTAGAGTTGGTTTAATGGTGTCTAAATTTTTCATTCCAGTGCAGAAATACCATACCATCAATGGTCATAATGCAGAAGTAAGAAAGGCTTTGTCTAGACAAGAAATGCAGGAAGTCCAAAGTTCTAGGAGTGGAAGAGGAGGTAACTTTAATTCTATTTTTTTCTTTTCTTTTTCTTTCTTTCTTTTTTTTTTTTTTTTTATCAGTGTTTGCTACTAACTAGGCCATTTATTGTAGGCAATTTTGGTTTTGGAGATTCACGTGGTGGCGGCGGCAATTTTGGACCAGGCCCGGGAAGTAACTTTAGAGGAGGATCTGGTAAATTCAAGTTCTAAATGTTTGGAGGGTGAATGAGCTTGATGAACAAAATATTATGATTA